TACTCGATGAATTTTTCTAATGTGACATTTAATAACACCAAGAGTCCTATCACAGGGCAGGAAGCTATGTTCCCTTACAGGAAAGTATTGCTCGGCAATCAAATTTCTTCTGTTCATAGAAAGAGCTAACATGAACCTGAAAAAGGTAAGATTTCGGTTTTGACCTGTGCACCCATCCAAAAACTATGAATTTCTTTTGCTGACACTGGAATATGTTGTCTTATATAGTCATTGAAGAAATCTAAGCATATTTTGGATTACTAGGCACAATACCTTCACCCTACAATGAGCTGTTTCCACACATTTAAACACATTTGCAGCACTGCCACTCCAGAATTGATTCAGAGCAGTCCAACGCGGGATGCGCCGGTTGCACACTTTTATGATTGTGACCCATGAACCTTATAAGAAACAGACTAACCCAAATGGGTTTTCTCCCTTGTCTGACGCATTCCCACCTGTCTGCTAGACCACATCTGGAGGAGTAGAGAAGACTTGCAGAAACTTAACAATAGTTGGCTATTGCGCCACATGTAATTGTCAAGAAAAAGCTGATGGTAGTGATTCATTTCACAAATTAAAATTTTTAGATATTTTTATTTTTGAAACTGAGATTGATTTTTAAAACTTTAGCATGTTTATCAAGCATAATTAACGTTCCAAATAATTATAAAGCTATTGCATGTTTTTCAGGCCTGGATATATTTTTAGCTTTTCCTATGCTGTAAGGAAAATTGTAACTACTTTTAGAAAATAATATTTTAAATCTGAACTAACAGAAAAATTCAAACAATTTTCTCTTACAATTTCCAGCTTTTTATTGGTGTAAATAAGTAAAAATACTAAAATGTCTAAAAATGAATTTTTGAAAGTTTCTGTTTAAAATTTTCAATTGTTCTGCTGCTTTTTTAAAATTATAGCATAATATTCTACAAAGGAGTTTTTATTTTAATTATATTTCATAATACATCATAATGATAAACACTTTAATAATTTTTATACATTTATTCTAATGTTAAAAATTGTATTTAACTGTAATAATTAATTGTACTAGTGTACTGAATATTTTTTTGGTCGGTAGACCAGAAAGGCTATTAGTTTAGAAACGGTATTTTGCAATACCCATTTCACTTTGCAAATTGTTTCCATCAAATATTATCGCCATGCATTATATTTAAAGAAATTAAACAATGAAGAAGCTGCTTGAATACATGTATATTTCTCGCATTATGAAAAATGACAGTATCTAGAGCCCTCAAATTTTGAATAACGTAGTCCTCTCCAACCAAACATGAGCCCTTGGAAGCCCAAATTTTGAATTTGTTTTATTATCCATTTCATATTTTGTAAAATTCTAATGAACTTTTCATTAAAAAACTCAATGATTTCAAAGTACACAATGGGAACGTTGTACAGAAAATAATATTTTTATCTCCAATGCACGAGGCTGTCTATCGGAAATTCTAAAGATATGTTGTTTTTAGATATTTTGTGATATTGCTGTTGAATTGAATTTTATGTGGTTTCTGCGCGAAGAACACAATATTTAATAAATAAAGGTAACCCACAAAACATTAAAAAAAAAAAAAAAACCATCTTTTTGTGCGTAATATAAAATCTGAGCGCTTGCAGATTTTATCTTTTTTTTTTCTCATTACATTCAGAAAAATTTATTTAATTTCGAATTTTATGAATTATAAAAATAAATCATCTTATGAATCAAATAAATGATCATATTGTAATGTTATAATAATTTTAAAAACCACTTTGTGAAAAATACTCAATTTTTTTTCAAAAATATCAGATCTTGTTTAATTTTACATTGTTTGTTTGAAAGCATTATGTACTACCAATCTTATTTAATTTTACTTTGTACACAAAAGTAAGTTCATAAATTTTGTGTTTAGAGTTTTTACAGTTTTAGCAAAGTAAAGATGTTTATACAAACGTTTGAAACAAATGCACAAAATGCAGTAAAAGGTGTTTTTATGAAATATTAATCTTATTTGCAAAAACTGTGACTTCCATAATATCACCACTTATACAACATATCACATTTAATAATTAAAAACAGTTATGTGACACAAACACCGTAGGTTTCAGTGTTGAAGTAAACCAGATCGCCTCTACTCCTTGCTGACATGTGGGGAACATGCGCTGCTCCCAGTGGGTTAATGTATTTCTTATAAGGTCCATGTCAGTTGTGAGCACTATGATGTCATTCACCGAACTTTCTGGACAGAGGCTGTATTAATGTTTTTCCTTTTAAGACAAAAAAATGCTCATGGAGATACATATGCAAATGTGACCTATTCATCGGATGATTATGAAGAAAATTTATCCAATAATAGTACTAAACTATACATCATATACAATCAGCAGAAGCATGACAAACTATGTAGAAAGTAATACATGAAAATTATACACATTCATGGTAACGATTATGTGATCTACTGCTTTTAGTTAGTTATTTCTTTTTAGATGGTGCCACTAAAGCACAATTTTTAAATACGAAAATAAATACAAGTCATTAATTTAACAACTTATTAAACATTTAATTTTTCTGTATAAGTCACTCAGCCATAAACATTATGAATGTTGCACAGCTAGTTCTCTCTTTCATTAATGGATCTTCACCATGTTTCTGTGAGATAATGTGGAAGCTAACTAAAAGTGATAGATCATATAACTACATCATTACCCACACTTTCCATATACATATAGAAAAGTGTCCTTCAGTTGCCCAAGATACTTACCATTTATGAAAGAAATTAAAATATATTTTGATACGTATAACGGAATACAAAATTTTACGGAAAATATACCATGAAATTACATTCCAAATTTTTTCTAGCTAGATAAGATTAACTTCCCACACTGATTACTATTAATACAGAATGTATGTATTTCATGTATTAAACCACTCTAAACCTAAGAATTCCCAAGAATGGGTAGGCTTACACTTTTGGTGAAAACCTTATATTACCAGCAACTAAAGATATTGTTTTAACATTATTCAACAACAAAGTGGCTTATGAACTTAATAATATCCCGTTATCAAATGATACCATAAGTTGGCAAATTCCATAAAAGAGATACTTATTCAAAAAATAAAACACAGTATTTCGCATTGCAAGTGGATGAAAGTACTGACATAACTAATTTTGTTCAATTTTTAGTTTACATGCGTTTCAAAGAAGATAGACAAATTGCTGAAGAGTATTTATTTTATGAATCTTTTCATGAGAGCAAATGCAAATAAAATTTTCAAAGTAACTAACAGTTTTATGTCTGAGAATAATATTCCTTAGAATAAGTGCATTGTCGTTTGCAGTAAAAACGAAAACAATCCGGTGTTATTTTGCATCTGAAGCTAAATTTATTCACTGTTCCATTCATCATGAAGCTTTAGTAGCCAAAACAATCCCCCAAAACCTAAAAATTGTTTTGAATCAAGCTATGAAAATTATTAATTTTATTTAAAGCCTAGCTTTAAATTTAAGATTATTTACGATTTTCTGCCAAGAGATGGGTAGTGAACATGAAACGGTTTTGTTACATTCCGAAGAAAGGTGGTATCCCGAGGCAAAGCTTTAAATCATCTTTTTGAACTTTGATCAGAAATTCAAATTTTCCCCAGTGATTCAAAATTTGAATTGCAAAAGTGTTTATTTTGCGAATTATGGTTGACGCGTTTAGCATATTTAGGTGATATTTTTGAAAAGTTAAATGAATTAAATTTTGAATGAAAAGGACAAAGTGTTAATTTGTTAATTATCATCACAAATAAAATCAATGCAATGATAAAAACTCAAGCTAATAATAAAAAAATTGGATAATAATATTTTAAGCTTTTTACCACTTTTAGAAAGTTTTCTACCTCAAAATAATTTGAAAATAAAAGAATTAGCATCCAACATTAAAAATCATTGTTTTTCATTGATAGTTTCAACATGTGTTTTCCCGAGAATTATGAAAAAGATAATTTGATTAAAAATAAATTTTGTTCGAATATACCTGAAATGTTAACTCGTGAAGAAAAAGAACAATTGATAGAAATTTCCTGTGATCAAACTCTAACTGAAGATTTCAAAAATAACACACTTGTTAACTTTTGGCTGAAGGGGAAAAAAAAAAAAATCATTTAAAGGCATTCCAAATAAAGTTATTGAATATTTATTACCTTTTTCACAGCCTATTTGTGTGAACATGGATTTTCTTCCAGATTATATTTGAAACATAAATTCAGAACAAAATTAAAAGTGGATTCTAATTTATGGTTAAAACTAAGCAAAATGAGATCAGACATAAAGAAATTATTCACCTCTTGTAAACAGACCCATATTTCGCACTAAATTTTAGAATTACAGTATTACAACTTAAATTTTGATAAACAAATCGGTAACTAATTTTTAATCCAATATTTTTTATGTGGGCATACTATTTAATACAAATAACCAATAGAATGTGCAAATGACAAAATATATGTATTTTTTAAATATTTCTATTGAGAAAATGAAAATAATCACTGCAAAATGTAGTGGTGATACTAAAGTTATTCAATTTTATTTTAGATGGTATATGCGTTAAACAAAATAATCAAAAGGTTGAGAACCACTGCTCTACTTAATTATATTTGCTTTAATCTGAAGCCTTTCCATTTACTGATTTTTCAAACTTATCATAAATTCAAAATATTTTCCTTGTGTACAACTGTGATTTGTTTAAAATAATAGTAGTTAAGTGGTTGTTAAATAGTCATATTTGTAAAATATAAAATAAATTATTTTTCCTTCTTTCCATGGCTATAAAGAAAAGAACTGCATTTTCTCTAGAAAAAATTATAATTTTGCTTTATCACCTAATGCTGTTTTTTTTGGGGGGGGGATTTTTTTCCCTGTGTTATCTTAAATTAAATCATCCAATTTTCAATGTGAAATTAGAAATTGTTTTATGTAAAACAAATAAAATTAAATAATTGAGTAAATTTTTCTGAATAATGCATTTATCAAAATTTGTTCTATTCAGCAAACCAATAATTGGATAAATCAGTTACAAGAGCAAACTGACTTTAATTTAGATTACAAAATATTCACAATCAAGTGGTCCTTATTTTAGAACATTTACAATATTACAGAACAATGGTATTTTCATACATAATAACTAACATTTTAAACCAAACTATTTCTATTTTGATCAAAACAAAAATTCAAAATTTGAGTTTAAAGCAAAGCATTTATATTTCACAATGTATAATGATACTCATATTAATGTCCACAATTCACTGAGAAAAAAACAACTTCATTACATCAATTATATTCCTAACTTGATCAGGTGTAAAATGAATATCAAGCTTTTTAGCAATTTTAGATTGAGGATCTTTACTTTCCTTATCATGAGGCATTTTACGTTTTCTTCCCAATCTCTTCTGTTTGGCTTCCAAATTTTGATCTCCACTTTTATCAGAACATTCAGATAACATGAAAGAATTATTAATTTTATCAGAATGCAAAATACAGTTTTGTGACACTCCTACATTAGCTTTAATTTGTGTGTCTGAAATTGAAACATTTTCAGAACTTGCATTTTTTATAGTGGTTAGTTCATTTTTTAACTGAGGCTGGTTAGAAATGATAATAGGTTGTCCACATGGAATGGGCTGAGTATTACTACTTTCATCTAAATTTTTGTTCAGACTTATACCTCGTTCAACTGGCAAATATTGGTCTTTCTTTTTCACAGAACATTCTGATAATGAACGAGGACTAGTAATTTTATGAGAATGTGAAACGTAATCCTGTGATGGTTCAGTACAAACTTTAATTTGCATCTCCAAATTTGAAATATTTTGAGAACTTGCATTTTTTTCAGCAGTAGGTTTATTTTCTAATTGAGACTGGTTAGAACTCTTAACAGGTTGACCACATGGAATAGGCTGAGAGTTACTACTTTCATTTAAGTTATCACTTAGACTAATAACTTCTGCATCTATAAGTGCTCCACATTTATCATTTAATTTTAAATAAGCTTCAGAACCTTGTTCATCGTTTGATGAATTGATATTATTTTCTGATATAATCATCACATTTGTATTGTCTTGAGAATTAACAATGTGATCTTTCATAATATTAACAGATGCTGCTGTCTGATCTTCTAAGCTTACATTTTTCTCTGTACTGTGTATTTCATCTTCTTCAACACTTTTTAAATGCTTAGTATTTTCAAAATTATTTGAATTATGTTCACATGCATTGCTATCCTTTTCAGCCACTTTTTGTTTACATGGCAGACCATTTGATATCACTTGAGTTGCAGTACAGGTAGGACTGGAAACTGACGAAGTTCCTAAGCTTGGATCTGAATCTGGCAGTTGCCCTAGAAAATGAGAATTACATAAAATTTTTTTTACATTTTTATATCATACAAACTTATGTAAATATATAATATATAAATTATATTATTTATATAAATATCTGATTGTTCATTAAAATATTTTCATTATTTGTACTTGAAATTTTCTGTCCATATGATGTATTTGAATGATTTTGTGAGGAACCATTTTTACATAATGTGTAGCCAGTATTTTTATACTGACAGGATGTACTTAGAATTGTATTAGTCACAGAACAAACCTCTTTTAAAAATTCCACATTTATTTCGTAAGACAGAAATTTAAATTTAGAATATTCTTCACATAAACTCTGCTTAATTGTGCAACATTTGTTGTCCAAACCTGGAAACAAAATATTATCATATATGTGCATACCATTAATGGTTGGTACAGATGAAAAATGCTTAAACCAGTTAAAGCATAAAGCTCTTTTTTGTAGATCAGTTAAAGAACACAAACTATTATTATTAAGTATTATTATTAATAATAATATTTTATTTTCTTGGAAATTAAATTTAAATGCAGAAAAATTGCTTTGCAATATCATACTTAGCTCAGGAGCTATCCGACTATTAGAATTTTGAATGTTTGGCTTTTCATAATTTGCTGCCTTGTCCTGTGGTTTATCTAATGCACTGGAACTTTCCTCTTGTAATATTAATGGGCATGATTGACATTTATTTGATTCAAGTCTTTGCTCAGCATTATCTGTAGGATTACTTTGTGTCTCGTTTGTAGACCATTCTGTAAAAATAACATGATAGACACTTTTTTTTATTTCACATAATTAAAAAATATTGATTTAACATAGCTTTCATTCCTAATTTCTGATAAACTCTACACCAAAAAGAAAAGAAAGAGCTGTAAACTATTATTATTAGCACTTAATTAATAATAATATAACACTTATTTTGTAAATTTAGGTACAAATATACAGTGAAAACAAAGTTCTCACGTACAAAGAAATGCCTATAATTATAATAAATATATGCATGTTACTATAACAGGGTTCGTACACATTTCTGCACACGAAAATTAAGGACTTTTAAGGACCATTAATGAAAATTTTAAGGACCTATGAGCAATTGGGAAATGATAAATTCAATTAAAAATATTATCTATGCCTGAATTTTCACTTTTGTAATACCATCCTTAAAATAAAATAGATCCCTAAGTAGCATTACTAAACATGAATTAGTTAACATAATTATAAGTTTGAGAATAAAATAAACTTTATGCTATTTATCAAGTATCATTAAACATTTTACACTTATAACAACTGGAAATATTTGAAAGAAGATAAGTGACATCTACGTTTCACTAACAGTTAGCTTTATGTTGATTTTTTTTAATATCTCATTTTGTCACATACTTGGTCAGTCTAGAGGTTTAGTAAATAGCAGGTAGATGTTATGTCAAACGGCATAGGTTAAAATGAGAAGTAAGATCATACATAATCAGCATGATTCATATCAAAAGACGGAATGTTTTCACTGCTACTACTTGTCTAGAGAGACCTTTAAGTTGCACCAGATGCTCTTTGTATCTTATTCTTTATAATATTGAAACTTCTTATAAGTTTACAACTCGTACAATAATATGTAGAGATAATTTTAAGGGTAAGCAGTTAGTTATAAATAATTAAATTATGTAGTTAAATAACCTTAGTTATTATGGATTTACATGGCCACTATTAAATTTTAATTTTTAACAATATTTGTTAAAAAGACCTATTAAAATCAAAATAAAATAAAATTTCACAGTTTAAAATACATGTAATTTATGACAATGATTCTTAAATGATATTAGGATAATTACACATTAAAAGCTACAAAACATTTATGTTTTGTAACAACAACACTCCAAATATTTATCCTTCATTTTAATTTGAAGCCTTCCCAAACATTTGGCTTTTGTTGTTTGACTTTAGAACAACAAAAGCCAAATGTTTGGTTAGAATTTGGCTAGTTTATATCGATTTCCTTCTCTTTAAGCATCTTTCGTAAGAATTAGAGATTTGTTTCAATATGAAAACCAATGCTCTCGCTAATTTCTGCGTGATTTATCTTCTAACCTATCAACCTCTCCACAATGTACCTATGAGGGTGTACTTGATCTGTTAAAAGTTAAATAGTCCAAAACGCCAGACATATATGAAGCAAATTATTGCTAGGTCTGAAAATAACTACAATATCAGATGAAAGTTTAATAAGCCTCTTATTTAAAAAGAACTTAGGACATGAAGGCATGTTCTGATGCTAGCAAAATCAATTACAGCTCACGGTGACATAATTGAACACGAACAGTCAAATTCAAATTTTAAAATGTGGACTAGTGGTCGAAGATTATACTATTTAATTTTAATTTGATCTGGCCCAGTAACTCTATCATATGAGGAAATAGAAATTATAGTAAAGGCTGAAATCATAAACAATTGGGTAATTTACATAATAATAACTGCACATACCTTTGAAGAATAATTTCTTTATGTATTCAGTTTCTTTCTACAACACGTTTCCTTTTCATTTTAGAATTTTGGGATTTAATTAAGGATTTCTGCTATTCTAAAAAACACTAAATGCATTTAAAATATATAGAAAAAGTGGCTAATTTTATTTCTTTAGTAATATGAATATTCAAAAGAAATACGAAATATAGATGGTAAAGGCCGCGTACAGAGCTGGTGTGACAGAATTTTTAAAATTTAGTGACACACGGAACAAAATCTACAAATGGCAAAACTTTTAGAATTTAGAACAGGCATTGAAAGCAGAATTTAAAAAGGCACTAGGCAGCAGAATTTAGGATCTACAGAGATTGCATCAGGTGGGAAAATCCCTAGTGCCCGCTCTGTGTATGATGCATTAATACATATTAGATGAATCTTGTAAATTGTATGTTTTCAATTTCTTTATTAATAAAAAAGTTCCTTTCTATAATGCCTGCCCAAGTGATAAGATTCAAAGCATTTTTGATATTTTCCATGCTTGTGTCTAGTGAAAAGTAAAGAAAATAAAGGAAAGATAAACATGTTAAGAAAAAGATACTAGTATCAGGAGTAAAACATTCAAATAATTATGCTTTCATTGTTCTTCCAGACATTCTCCAAAAAGTAAGAAATTGATCACAAACTTTCTGTAAAATACATCCGTGTTGATACCACAAAGATATTTTTCATTCTGTGACATATTTTTCGAATCTTCTATAATCGTGGGTCTGTAAATCTTGCCTTCAAATCCTTCTAAACTTTCCAAGCTGCAATGTCTAAAATCCTAAAGAAAAATTATCCCTACCAATTTGTAACAGCAAAAAGCCGGAAATATTTTGGAAAAAAAAAAAAGGAGGGAAAAAGTGTAAAATTAATTTTATAGAGAAAACTGATGCATATTCTGAGAAGTTTGATTATTCTGAAACAATTACATGGGAAAAACTATTACTATGAAAAATTTAAAAAGAAGACATTTTTAATTAATTAAATAGCTAATTTTGCTTTTGTTAAGAGCTGTTTCACAAATTGTGCTTTATAGCATTATACCTTGTTTATTTTTCAGGTTCAAAATATTTTATAATAAGTTGCCAAAATGAAACTTTTTAATATGATAGCGAAAAATAAAAATGTTTTATTTTAATGTTATTTTTTAAATTTAATTTCAATATATTACCATTATTTTAATGAAATTTATCAACGTTACGATGTTTTTAAAAAAATCGTCGAAAAATTCCCAGATCTCGAAATTAAAAATTTTCTTTAGAAACTGATCTTAAAATTGCCAAAATGTTGATAAGTCGCCAAATTTAGAACCGTTTAATAAAAGAATTCACATCCTCAAAAGCGAAAAGTTGTTTAAGAGCTCTTTATTAGAAAAAATGAATTTCAAAATGTTTATGTTTCACTTCTTGCTTAGAAACTCGAGTATCCCATCATTTATATTAGAAACAAATTAAAACCCATGAACAACACATTCAAAAGATAACCATATATGTCAGTGAATCGCCAAAAAATATTCCTCCAAAATGCTAATTCACACTCAAAATGGTAGTCGTAATAACAGACAGAAATTTCAGATGATTAAAATTAAGGACCTTCTGCTGATTTTGGCCAAAATTAAGGACGGACCGTACGAACCCTGTATAATACCCTAATTTTAAATAAAAATCTGAATTTTCTTCTCAAACAATTTACCTTTATAAACAAACTCAAATTTCATAAATAAAATAACCCACTTCATTATACAGTCAAAAGTCGTTAATTCGGACACCCATAATCCGGAATGATCTATAATCCGGACCTCAAAGCTAAAATCTTTCTGCGCATGCGCCGCATTGAAGCATGCGCATAGGCGTTTTACTCGTGCGCGCAAGACATTTACCACTGCGCATATGCGTCTGCGCAAGTGCAGAATACGTTTTCGCGTGCGCGTTTAATATATAACGGACGGTATAAGCTAAAATTATCTAATTATCTATTTCAGTTAATGTTGATGATTGCGTTGTTCTTTAATCTTCGAATTGGATCCGGCTTATTATTTTTTGCAGACTGTAAGAGCAATTTTCTAAAAGTAAGCTTGAACTTTCGATTATGTCAAATAGAATTTCCGATGCTGGAGCTCCCAAAGGATCTAGAAAACGAAAGTATGTTTCGATGTCCATCAAACAAAAAACGAATTGCTACAAAAAATGGATAAAGGCATATTCTTTGTTTATCTAACCGTTCCGAAATCTGTTTATCAATTTCACGCTGCTCTGCGCGGGGGAGGGGGACGTCGCGGCGCGCAATGAACTGGAAGTTGATTTGTCAACACTATCGTGACCTTCAGGGCAGATGTTTTTATTTTATTCGGCTTATAATTCCTTACTAAATGTAGTATTTAATTTCGGTGTACTCCGTCTTTGATATGATTTAAATCAAATTCCTCGTCATTATAAATATCACGAATACAAATCAAATAGTTTTCTGGTTGCAATTTTCTAATTTCGGCTGTGCGTAAGGTATGCTTTACGCATCCGCGCGTTGAAAGAAATGTTTAATAAAGTAAACAAATAATATTAGGCTTTCTTTTTTGGTAAATTTTGATACCCTTTAGATCATAATTGCTCATTATTTTATAAATTACGGTTTCATATTTTTAATTTTATAATTTCTACATGCCATCTTACCAGATTTAAACTGATGATCTATAATCCGGAAAAATCGATAATCCGGAATCGCCGAAGTCCCGACGAGCCCGGATTAAAGACTTTTGACTGTATAAAGCTATTCATAATTATGTAAAACATTTTTAAATTAATGACAAATAACTATGCAACTATACCAAATTTTCTAAATCAAAATTTCTTACTGAAGAAGATATACAGATTGAGAAGATGGCATATCAGTATAGTAGCCAATCTAACCTTTGAATTTAATTATGTGACTTTTATTTCATAATGATATTTATTATATTTGTGCCACCACTCCCAGCAAATGTGCATTGAATTATATTATGCAGTAGCCACTGCTTTTTAAGTTGTTTAAGCTGCTCCGATTTTTGTGCTAATACTTTTTCTTTAATTCTATTGACAGACATTATTTTTTTTTTTTTTCAGTTACAAATAATTCTATAAACAGACATTATTTTTTTTTTCAGTTACAAATAATTCTATAAACAGACATTATTTTTTTTTTCAGTTACAAATAATTCTATAAACAGACATTATTATTATTATTTTTTTTTTTAGTTACAAAGTTTCACTTTGTTCAAGTA